TGACTGCTCCAACAGCAACCCTCAGGTTCTCGCTGACAATCCAGCCCAGTACCCTCTGTGATCACTGGAAACCCACTGGGAATAAATGAAGAAGTGGGCCTTGACAGAAAACCAAAACCCAGTGCCTACAAGTCAATGCTACCTCATAGTGACCCTGCAGAACAGAGTAGAAATGCCCCAGGGGGTTTTCAAGGCTGTCAATCTTTACGGCAGCAAACTGCCTCACCTTTCTCCCATGGAGCGGTTGGCAGGTTCAAACCACCACTGCGCCACCAGTGCTCCTTTCTTGAGAGACAGAGAAGTATACTGTGCAAGACAAGCTTGTTTCTATAGGGAAGATCAGGAAAAACTGAAGGCCAGGATGGCCACAGTCCTGACATTTGGGACCAAGTCACTCTTGCTGTGGAGGCTGTCCTGGGCCCTGTAAGGTGTTGAGCAGCATCGCTGGCCTCCACCCACCAGATGCCTTCCCAAAGCTGTGACAACCAGCAATGGCTCCAGACAGACACTGCCAGATGTCCCCTGGGGGTCAAAGCCACCCCAGTTGAGAACCACTGTTTTAGGATGATGCAGATACATGTCCTTTGTTAGCAAAATATAAAATCACAGAATTTGCAGAAGAAGAAGAAAGCTTGTTAGGCCCTTTAACTCAACCCTGTTATTACAGAAACAAGAAAATTAAGGCCCTGAGAGGTTGAATGACTTACCACAGTGCTGCCAAAAGGAACCTGGGCTCAGCCCAGCTCTGCAAACTCCCAGTCCCAATGACTGTCCCAACGAAAGTCTGAACTGGAACCCTGCTCTCCAAACTCCCACCACCAGCCAGCGTTCTTTGGGATGAGGACAGAGGACACAGCATGCAACAGTGTCGCTTACCCAAATGGAGCCCCTCGGTAAGCCCATCCTCGGAGCCATCTTCAGAACCACCTTCTCCCCGATCCATCGCTCCGTTTTCATCCAGGGAGGTGGCGAGGTCTGGGGAACACGTCCTCGGCTGCCTTCCGTCAACAGACATGGTGGGCGACTCGGCATCCGTCCGTCTGTCCTTCTTGTGCACTCTGGAGTGTAGGACCAGCTGGTGGTAAGTTCTGAAAGCTTTGCCACATTCAGAGCAATGTGTGGGCTTCTCTTTGTTATGGGCTAACTTGGGCTCTGCGTCCACAGAAGGCACTTCCCCGTTAGCGTGCCGAGCCTTCTCTTTCTCTTGTGAGAGGCCTGCACAGCTGCTCTTATTTGCCCTGGCCTTCCCAGAACCTTCCGAATGGCTTTTATTTGTGCTCCAGATTTCTCCAAGTTCTTCTTTATCTGAACACGAATCATCATTGTCAGTACTTCCTTCTTGCCCTGGCTCCTTAATTTCTCCTCGGCTAACGGCGACTTTGCCTTTGGTGGCCAACTGCCAAGCCTGGTAGGTGTTGAACGGGTCAAGCTGAGGTATCCATTTTGCTGGCTTTTTGCTGTTTTCCAGGAGGGATTTTGGTCTTAAGTTTAAAAACTGGAGGAACTCTTCCCGGGGCGACGGCGCTCCCTTTGGACGGGAGTCGGCCTGCGTCTCGCTGGCTCCAGACACGGTTTCTTTGGTGTGCACTTTGCTGTGCTCAATGAGACTGTCTTTATCTGGAAAGAAGAAGCCACAGAACATGCAGATCTTGTACGGAGAGGAGATGCTCTCGGCCGCGTGCTCCTGAACCACCTCATTGATGGTCACTGGGCTTTCTAGGCCTTGCTGGAGTCTGTTTCTAGCCCCAGATTTGCCTGTGTGTGTCCGCATGTGGTTTTTCAGAAACCAGGGCTCCTTGAATCTCCGTCCACACACATTACACCCGTAAGTGAAAGAGTCCTTGTGTTTCTTCATGTGGATCTCAACGTCGAAAGCAACTCTAAATGCCTGTCCACATACTTCACAGCTGAAGTCTTCCTTTTCCTGGCAACTCTTGTCCTTTGGGGGTTCTGCTCTCACTTGGCTTTTATCCAGGGGACTAAGATACTCGGCTTCGACACGCAGAACTGCTGGCTCGCAGAGTATCGGCCGATGTTGTATCAGGACATGTTTGTTGAGGTCTTCCGAATGGGTGAAGGTCTGATTGCAAAACATGCAGTCCAAAGGCATGTAGCCCTCTATTTGGATGATACTTTTCTCTTGTGTCGCTCTGAACGGAACAGCGGTGGTCCCCTTTATGGACACGCCATCGTCCATCTCCATCTGGGTTCCGAGGGAACTGCCAATAACTTCAGGTCCATCCATGTACACTAAGAGGGACTGAGTTGGCATGTTTCCTGTCACTTGATGATTGTATATAAAATGAGAATCTGAAAGTTCTGCTGGGGAATTTCGGGAGTTGGAATAAGGCCACTTGTAAGATTTGTCACTCACACCTCCAGCAGCCCAGGGCTTCAAAACGAGGACAAATATTTTATTATCAGAGTTCAAAACAAAGTGTATATTTCTCTCACTTCTTGTCTTCAGAAGTTTTCAGAAGCTGGGGGACACAGACCGTCACTGGGTCTTTCCACAAACAAGGCATATAGACCCACCCAACGCTCTGCTTCAATTATGAATCAGCACAAGGCATGACATCTCTTTGTCTCCACTGAATGAGTGACTCAGTTGAACAACAAGTCAGTCCCGGCAACCTTGACACAAGGGGTTTCCACACCCTAGAGGGAAAAAAAACAGAACAAGTTACTGTGAGACAGAATAAAAGGCTGTCCCAGGCACTTGACCGTGGTCCTTCCCATGCAGCCGAGTAGGTGCCTTACCCGACTGCTGCACGCTTCATCTCTCCAATCCTGCTAAGCACGTCTGCTAATTAAATCATTAGCACTGTACCCCATCACCACTCTAATAGCATCACTAGCATCTCACCCAGCTGAGAAACTTAAAAACATGGTGCTTTACTGACGTATGGCTAAAATTAAAAGTTTCAGGACAGAAAGTGTTCCATTCGAGGGAATATGTTTCCAAGCAGGAGTCCTGGTGACAGAGCAGCTAAAGCACTTGGCCGCAAACTCCAACATCCCAGCATTTGCTCTGCAGGAAAAAGATGCAGCAGGCTGGGTCCGTACCGATTTACAACCTCAGAAACTGTTTGCAGCAGCTCTACGCTGTCCCACAGGGTCGCTGTGAGTGGGAATGGACTCCCCGGCACTGGGTTTGCTTTGGTGATGTTTCCACGGTCACTGAGATGTACATGCATATGCTGTGAACAGCCCCCAGACCTAGAGATTACACAAATCGCTCAAAATAAGATGACAGAATCAAAGCACTTTGGGCAAAAGATATAAAGGCAGAGCTTCAGATGATTTTAAATACAAACCAACATACAAGAAACAGAGAAGACTGAAGGCCACCTGAAGCTCACACTTACCAGAAACACCACCCTAAGCCATGTAACAGGGGAAAACCTTTCTTAAGAAGCCTACTCAAGGATCACAGAACAGCTCAGAAGTCAAGGTGACCTTCATCCATGTGGATTCACTGGATAGTCTAAACTTCAATCCACATCCCCAAAGTTTGCCTCTGACCACTTTCTAGCTTCAGTAAATGTCACTGTAGGGCTTCCTGGTCCTTAACAATGTGTACGTACAATCTGTGAACGCATCCGTTTAAAATCAAACTCGGCCAATTCAACATTATACCTAGTCAATGAGGAAACAGACCCTTCTGTTCTATTTACCTTTCACATTGGCCAGGTGAAAACTCTTTTTTGCTCTGTAGGCTATGGTTCAGAAGCTCATCTTCACTTCCAGAGAAGAATTAAACTCTAACTCCAAGACTGTCCCCTTCCGTGGCAATCACAGGAATTGTTCTTGAATAAGTCCCAGCTACTCTACCCAAGGAAACAAAAAGGACACACAGCATAGTGTTCCCACCACAGTCAAAGTCTCCACTTCCTCAAAGAGCAAGGGCTTGTGTGCTCCTAACACCAGGAAGCGTTTCTTCCCCTTCTTTACACTCATAAAAAAGTTCTACTACTCCTTAGTATCTGTACTTTGAATAAACTAGGTCTTTAAATGAAGCTCTTCTAAGGCTCTAGATCAAAGATTGCCATAGAGAAAGAAGGTATGAGGGTGTTTCTCTTAATCTCTGTCTTGTCTTTGTTATAATCACAATGGAGGATAAACATATGGCTGGTGACCAGCCTGCTGTGATAGAACACTCCAGGAACCAGAGTTCTAGGCCAGCCTAAGACACAACCTTCAAGTAGTTGTCACCACCAAGCCCTCTCCTTTATCTATTTAATGCAGACTGATAAAGCTCTGGGATCCTCCTTCCAGTTCCACAGTCCCATGGTTCTGGGAGTAGATCTGTGTTTAGGAAACAGAGTCACTCACAGGTCTTCAAGGCCTCTGCTAATCAAGGGTATTACTGCATATATGATATAATCCTCTGCACATTCCACAGGTACTGACTGCTGTGTCCCAGGCAGTATGGGAACTGAGCAATTAAGAGCACTCGCTGCAGACAAGCAGTTACCAAACGGATGGCACTGATTTCACAGGCCCGCAGCTAAACGGGAGGTGATGCACTGAGCGCCACGGGCTACATGTTATCAATTTCAACTAGAATGAAAAGTGTCCTTTAATTCTAAAGGCCTTTCCTATGGTGGGGTGCTGACATAACTTTTTTTAAAAAAAATGAAATGGTAGCAATAGCAAACAGTGGAATTCTTTTTTCTAAATGTCCTTATTTTCTCAAAATAAAGCTGGACTCCAAGTCAAACCCCAAAATTATTTTTTGAGAAATGTGACTTACCTGTGAATTTTTTTTTTTTCAATTTCCTCTGCATTAGATATACAGGTTTTACAGACTAGAACTTTTCTATAATCGTTTCCAAAAAAAGACACCAACCCTCCCTCCTACCTATGCTCAATCTCTGGATTAGAAATACGATATATGTTCCACCCACGTAAACAGCAGAACTCAGTTACTGGAAGTTTTGGGTTGTTTTTTTGTTTTGTTTGAGAAAGTAGTAGAGACTGGACTCAGTTTCTTATTATCATTAGTCATAAATACTTTTCTTAAACAGAAGAAACAAATTATGCTGAATACAAAGAGCACTGATCTTCATGTCTGCCTGGTAACAGGCCCAGCTATGCCTACGAAACCCCTGCCCAGTAGTTACTGGAAGTTCTGGGATAGCTGTCTTAGAAAGACATGGTTGGTTACTATTTTTGTCTCTGAAATGCTCAAATATCTGGGTTCACTAAATCACCACAAGACTGTCAGAGGTAATTCCCCACTGTGCCTTCACTATCTTCCGCTCCAGTAAACCCAGCACTCACTTCACCACGGCCTCTTCCCAGGCTGGCCGCCCACGACACCTTTCCCCTCATCTTCAGGTGGCCCATCCCATTCGCCCGCCCAGGCAAACCTGAAGCACTCCCTCCTCCAAGGATGGTTTGTGGGAAGGATTCTGACAGTCAGGAAGAATGCCCAACCATTCTGAGACAGTACTTGACCACCTGGCCCACAGCCATCCTTACAACCCCACCACTGTGCCAACCCTCTGCCACCTCACCATCACCAAAAGGGCACAGAAATGCAACAACCAGAACATAATTAAGAAGAAATGTTGACACAATGTGAAAAATGTACCTAATGCCAGTGGTCAATGTGTGTGGAAATGATCAAACGGGACTCTAACATGCTGTATAAACTTTCACCAAAAACGCAATAAAATACTACTCTCAATAAAACAAACAGGTCTCGAGTCACATAAAAGGCCTCCCCCCAGGCTCCTTCCCTGCCCACTGCCAGCACAGCTCCGACATCAACAAGCTATCACACCTCCGTGACTACGTCCTTTGAAAATTTCTGTCCACGTCTAAAATCCTAGTGTGTGTGTGCTTGTAATTGTCTTTTTCCGCCCTTCAGAGATCCTTAAGAGCAGAGACCTCATCAGCCTTGACCACCGTCACTGCTGCTAGCGCAGGAGCCCATCTCTAGCCACAGTCTCCAGACACCACTCATCTGAAATGTTGCTCAGAGGGCTCTCCATGGCGGCCGTCTCCACAGTGCAGTCCAGAGAAAGGGATGGTACTGGCCCCCACCAACAAGGCGGTCACCACAGCAAAACCACACCCAGGATTCTAAGCCCGCTCCTTAGGGCCCTGGCCCCTCCCCTGACCCATCCAAACAGAAACACAGGGCACATCAAGCTGGGCCTTGGCCCCAACCTTGAAAGCATGATGTGCATAGAGAAAGCCCTTCCTTTGCCTCCAGGGCAAGGACTAGTTCTTTAAACCCAATTTGCTAACCAAAAAGCAGTCAAGGGGTTGTATTAATAAAGGATTTGAGAAATAAGAGAACTCATGAAAATACCAAGTGGAATCTGATGACTGCCAAATAAGAAATCAGCATGGCAATAAGCACAAGTGTGGTAAGTACCTGCTCAGGGCTCTCCCAGAATCCACCATCTTGTCCCAAGTGCAGCACCCAGAAGCCACTGGGACTGACAGCATTCCTGATACTCAACTGTCTTTCCTGACAAGGAACTGGAGGGGGAAAAGGAGATCATAACCTGACTACAACCTAAGTACTTTCAGTTTGCAACAAAGTGGGCCCTCTGAACACAGGCTAAGCTTACTGTGAGGTACTTCCCAAAACTGTTTACCTGTTTTTTTCAGTATTGAAAAAAAAGAAAAAAAAAATTAACCTCTACTGAAGTAAATAACAGTGCTGAACATTCAACCTTATTTATTCCAAGGACTCTCAGGCACCTAGTTGTTCAACATAACCTTGTATCTTAAGAGAATACTAGAGTTTATATTGTTATTACTTAAGTAGATACAACTTTCATTTTAATTTACCATAACATAATCTTCAAAATCCAGTAGGAACCATACTGCTTTAACTGCCTGAAATCTAAACCTGATGTTATTTAAATTAGTTCTTCAGTTGGGGGGGAGAGGAAGTTTGTAACTGAAGCTACTGTAAATTCTACCACTCCCTGTAGGTCTGGGTATTAGTAAACACTCCACACTCCACACAGCTGAACAGCAGCACATAAAAGGAGGGGCAACAGCCATCTTGCCACCTTACTGACAACTGCTGTCCTTGCATGGACTGCTGCTCAGGTCCAGAGCCACTCAAACTGTGACCCCGAAGAGCAAGCGCATGGACCGTGCGGCTTCTCCCGATGCTCAATCCAGAGTGTTTCCCTCCCACAGTACGGGGCAGTACTCCAAATCCTGGAAACTGCCAAGATCACACACAAATTCTACTGAGAGCCAACTAATGTGCACTAATCCTACGAATCTTCTTCCCAA